GGGAGCCGCCTGCCCCTCGGGCGGGACTCCTGAGGAACTCCGACCCGGGCGGAGCCCCAGTCCCGGCCCAGCCTCTGCTGCCGGGAGAGCCCCACCGAGAGCCCCCTGCAGGCCCCGCTGGAGCCCAGAGGGGCTGCGCCGCTTCCTCCACCCTCACCCCCTCCACAGCAGCCCCAGCTTTCCAGCCGCCACACGCTCTCCACGCGGATCCCATCCGCACTTCCAGCCCAGTTGCTTCCCACGGGCCAGGGAGCTCCTTTCACCCGAGCATCTCCTCTGTCATCCACCCCGTCCCCTCCACAGCACGGCAACAGCTCAGAGCCAAGAGGCCACCCTGAGCACCCAGCATTGCTGCGTGGGAGACAGTCTTGTGTACTAAGTCCCCAAAAAAGGTTTCAGAAGGAAAAAATGGCAACAATCACAGTTTTCAGAAATCCCCCTAGGTCTGAGACTTTGGCTCAGTTGCCAGTGGCTCCAACACTGCCATGGGCATCTCTAAGCTCTACAAACACATCTGGAGCAGCTCTCATAGAACCACAGAATGGTTTGGGTTGGAAGGGTCATTAATGGTCATCTAGTTTTCAGTCCCCTGCCCTGGGCAGGGACATCTCCCACTAGACTAGGTTGCTCAGAGCCCCATCCAACCTTGCCTGGAACACTTCCAGGGAAGGGCATCCACAGCTTCTCTGGGCAACCTGTGCCAGTGCCTCACCACCCTCACACTGAAGAATTTCTTGCCAGTAGCTGATCTAAATCTACCCTCTTCCAGTTTGAGACCATTGTGGCTCAGACCATCACTACATGCCCCGATCATCTCTAATCCTCTCCATCCCCACCCCCACATCTTTCCTGCAGGCCCCCCTTCCACAACAGCCTGCTCCAGATTTGATGGGGGCACAGACACCTTTGTGCCCAGCCCTCCTGAGGGGCATCACGTCAGGATTCATCCCCTGGCTCCAGGAGTCAGGGCACTCTCCTCCCCTGAGGAGCAGAGCCACTAACATCTCACCCAGCTTTATTCTTTGGGCAAGACTGAATTAATAATGGAGATTACAAGGCAGCTGGGAGGAGTGGAGCCCAGTTCCTCAGTCAAAATAAGCTGATCCCACACACACCTCCCCCCAGAGCTTTTGCAGCAGCATGGACAAACAGCAAGGAACTGAAGGCATTAGCTACCATCGGGCAGTGACACCGGTGTGAGGCAGATACCACAGGAGCACCACCTCACACAGCCCCTCCCACCAGGGGTCAGGGGCACTGACGTCCCAAAAACACTCCAGACACGGCTGTGGTGAACGTGTGACTTCATCCTAAGGCTACAAGGCTTTGGATCAAACCGAGTTATTTCCACCTAATGCAAGAATTATCAGAAATAAACATCTGGAGAAGCCCAGAGGGAAAAGTCTAAATCCCTGAACTGAAACATACCCTCCCTACAAAAACCATCAAGCAGCGTGACAGCTGCACCACACCCACTCGTCCCGAAACCAGGCTCCGGTGGGCTTGGGATTTTTTTTGGCTAGAAGGCGTGATTAACTATTTGCTCACGGTCTGGTAGCTGCAATTTGGGGCCAACCAGCTGCGAAGAGCCTCCAGCCACTGAGGAGAAGCAGCTGCTGTAGCCGTCCCCCGTGGCTGATCCCCCAGGACCAGGACCAGGCCGGCTCTCCCCTGCCAGCTGGAAGCTCCGGCCTGGAGATGCCGTGAGAAAGAACTCTGCAGCTCCTCAGCTCCCCATGCTGCACCGTCCCAGGGACTGCAAGGGGATGAATTCTGCCGTGGGATTACTCCAGGCAGGGCGGCTGTCGGCAAGGAGACACGCTGCTTAAATCACCTCCTCTAAACCCGCTCGGACTGACACATTCCAGCCCAAATCCACAGCCCGACAGGAGCCGCCTCCCCACCCAAACCACTGCTCGGGGCACCGTTAAACCTCTCCTCAAAAATGAGCTCTACAGCAGGAAAGGGGGGGAAAAAAGAATCTAATACTATTCCAGATGCCCCAAAGAACCCAGTTCCCTCTAAAGCAGGAACAATGCTAAAGCACAATGCTCCTTAAAGCATCCCCTGGCTGCGCTACACTTCCCAGGGAAGAGAGAGCTCTTCTAAATGAAGGACAGTATTGCCCCCCAATTATTTAAGGAATTCAAAACTAAGGTCAGGATGAAGATTTAGAATGAGCTCAGGAAATCATCTGGGTGGGGAGAGGGATAAAGTTGTGGTGTTATAAATGTTTCCTGTTGCAAAAAAGCCCCTGAAGAATATCTGTACAGAGCACTGTAAAAAAGAAAAAAATCACCAGACACCACTATTAATGAAACTCTTCCGTGCTCTTGACATCTGCCCAGCTTCTCCCCACAAATCCCCTGTCTATTCCCCCAAGGCTCCTCCCCGAGCCTCATTAGGTCTCATCAGCCTCATTTTTATTACTTCTAAACCGCTTAAGCTCTTGACATCTTCTCTGGGGTCAGACACTCCAGATGGAACAACTCCCGTGTCCAAAGAGGCACTTCAGAATCCAGAGAGTCTCCAGGAGCTGAAGGAGAAGACACTCCTCTGAGCAGAAACCCCCCAGCACCACGTCTCCGTGCCGCAGGACACTGCAACTACCCAGGGGAGCTGGGTAACTCCAGAGGAGGACACGAGCTCCTGCCCCACGCCTCCAGCCGAGGTGAGAACTGGGACACACCAACTCACTTGAATGGTGACACACTTGTTCAGGAAGGGCTTCTGCTCACCTTGCACCAGACCCACCTCTGCGGCACCTCAGCCAGCAGGAGTGCACAGCCCAGGGGTGCCAGCTGCCCCCGAGGTGCCAGCAGACTCCAGGCCCGGGCAGCCAGGACCAGACCCTCCCCTCTCCACTGAGCCCACAGAAGAGGCTTCTCCGGAGGCAGAGGTGTGGGCTCCCCACCAGCTCTTTGGGATCTGTGGGGTCAGACAGAGGTGAGCTCTGGGTCCCCGCAAGTGTGAGTTATTAGCAGCCACTGCAAGGATCAGTTATTTGTCTGGAGCCTCACTGTAGGTCCTCAAATGTCCTCCTCAAGAGATAGACCTGATAAAACTGCTGCAGAGGTACTGCTGCTCTTGTAATTACAAAAAGTGCCTTATTTCAGCCTAAGACTTTCAGCCTGCACCACTAGCAAAGTTTCAGTATTTCACTGGTTACACAGAATTAGACACTCATTTCTGCAAGTTTTCACCATTCCAAGTCAGGATTCACGATGGTAAAGATTTGTGGCTACTACAAATACTGTTCTTGGTCATGGGATGTCCTAATTATTTTCTCTGCAACGCCCAGCAGACTGAAATTTTCTCCAGATGTACAAAAATGGGATTCGAAAGCCTCAAGAGCCATAAGATTACTTCCCCCAAGTCCAGAAGGTTTATATTAAAAATGTCGTTACCAAAAAAAAAGGCAAAATCAGATGCATTCAAGATCAAAAACTCTTTGCACTGAAGCTGGCTGTATTTTGCAGCTCAGAAATATATAAATTTTTTTCCCCCCTCCTGATAAATACCACATGAAAGATTAGCCATTAAAGTCTTCATATTTACAGAAATAACCAAGACTGAGATTCAGCTGCTTCCCTCTAATCATCTCCCCACACCAGTCTCCAATGGGAAGGCAGTCAAAAAAGCTCCACATACACTCCTTGCAGGGTTGGGTCTCGCCTCAAGCTCTGTGCTATGGGAAACAGTTCAGGTTTTTTTCAGTGTAATGGTTCCCCAAACAACAACTCGAAATAAAAGCATGAGTTATGGTCACTGTCCGCTGGTCGTCGTCCTGGTCGCACCCCCTTCAAAAAACTTCCCCCTCTGCTGTATATTGGACGTGTTCAGAGTAAAGCATAGACTTAGAAATCTAAATAAATGGGGTTTGTAAAAAGGAAGCTGTCAAAAACGTGCTGCCCTGTGGTTTGTCAGGAAGCCCCCCTGGGTTCCTGTCGGTGCTGAAGCAGGAGCTCGGTCTCTGCAGCAGCCCCGGGGCTGCAGCCCGGCGCCTCACAGCGCGTTGTACTCCACACACTTGGAGGGGTCCGTGGGGAAGTGCTTCTGGCAAATGGTCATGAGCCTCTTCAGCCCCTGGGAATTGACACAGCAAGGACAAATCTGTCATAAAACTGCAGCTGTCAGACACACTTACTTAACAATTGTCAGTGCTTTTAAGCTTAACAAGAAGAATTCAAGACAAAGGGCTGCTATTTTGGGGTTGATGGGGTTTTTTGTTTGGTTGTTGTTTCCAGTTTTTATGAATCTTTTTCCCTGCAAAGTACCAAGCTACTCCAACACTAGAGAAGCCCGTGGCACAACCAAAGAGACCACAGATCCAGTCCCTTTACGACAGATTGATAGTAATGCCTTAATCCCTCCTCACCACCACGTGAGGAAACACTATCACAGCAAAAAATATTTAAAAGAAACCACAGTATTAGAAGTAATTTTATAGAGCAAAAAGCAATTTCTGACACGAAAACAGGCTGCACAGCTGTGAGAAGAACTGAACCATTTCCCAGGAGAAGAGGTGTCACTCCTCCCCACGGTGGCACCACACTCGACCTACACCGTGGAGGCAAACTGAGTCAGGAGGAAAGGCAGAATGTCAGCTCCTCCTTTCTTCCAAGGCATCGACTGCCAAAAACCAACGGGACAGAAATCCTGTGACCATGTTGTCTCAAGTCAAGCACAGAAGTCTAACAAAGAAAGAGCACTGCAGTGGGGGTAGTGTCGTTTAGCAGTGACATTACACGCCAAGGTGGCAGAGTCATGTGCCTGCCATCAGCCACTCACGATGCAAGAGAGCTCCTCTGAAAAGGAGGGAAAAATGATTCAACAGAGGATGCTTTGGGCTTTACCTTCCAGACCTGCCTGCATTGCATGTCCTAGCACCATTAACACCTCCTTGTTTGGGCTGCTCCCATCCCAGGTTTGTTGGAAAGCAGCAACACATCAGCTCGCTGTACCTGCTGGGAGCACAGGTGATATTCTGTGCTCCAGTTTGAACCACACTGGTACTTAAAAACAGCTATTAGGACGTGCATGTTTAAAGCCAACTCTGTCTTGGTGGTTCAGCAAGCTGTGTCCTTCAGAAGCACAGATGCAAAATTCACAGTGGGAAGGTGAACATGGATATTTCTTTGACCAACAGATGTCCCTTATCTGCTTTGGGGGTTACACACCAGGGAATTCAGCTTGGGATACACTGCACCTTCCAAAGGGCCTGCAAGGAGAGCTGAAGCAACACTCCAGAGGAGAGATCTTTCTGCTAGAAGAGTGGAAAATGGACACGTGCACCCAATTATTCACCAAACTTGGAGAAGCATCACTATGGCCACACTGAGGCCAACAACAATCTTCCTTCAGAGTCCAAATTCCTTTTTTAACACAGACTAACAAAACTGTTTGGTTTAACATAAGCTATTTCATCCACTAAAAACTCCCAAGTAAGCAGCACACTAACTGGAGCCTGTCCCTAAAGATGCACAGTCCACAGGCCAATTTTCACAAACAAAAGAACTGGTCAGATTTAATTTGTTAGTCTAAGAGATTTGTAAATATTTGGCTCTGTAGGTGATTGGAGCTCCCTCTGGCTTCACAATATTTTCACAGGTTATGATACCAAAAACTAGAATTAAAAACAAATCAAAGGTTATATTTGTAGCCCAAATACAAAGACACCCAAGGTGGAAGGACAAGTTGTGTTTCTAAGCAATCCCCTCACAGACATCTGCAGAAGTTGAAAAGCCATGGGAGTCCTTCTGCCACAGCAGCAAGGTCCTGCCAAAAGTTCTGAGCTCCACAATGCTGCTTTGGAGGCTTCAAAGTTAAGCCAGAAGGTCTTTATCTCAGTAATACTGCAACTGGCAGGAGGCAAATGCATTTAACAATACAAGGAGACTTGTTTCCCTCAGACCTGTCCACCCATTATGCTGAAACATTAAAAGAACAAAACCACCCCTGCTATTAATGCCACAAACAGCAGCAGTTTGTGACAGGAGTGTGAATATGCACAGGAGGAACTCGACCTGCAATTCTGAACCCACAGCTACAAGAAGCATGTTTAAAAAATGACTGTGTTTATCTAGTTGCTGAAATAGTCAGAAGGGCTGTATTCCATGGTGTAAAACTCCACACATGATGTCAAAACCATGAGTTGGGCAGTGGAAGAACTCGGGGAATAAAGCATGTCTTCACAGCTACTTGGTGTTCCTGCAGTGTCACAATGGGCAAGGCACAGAAAAATCCACCCAGGCCCTGTCCTAGCCCAGCACAGCAGCTCCTTCAGGTCCAGGGGGAGCTACCTGTTAAATGGATGTTATGCTTGACCCAAAGTAAGGTAACTGTCCATTTCTTTTTACCACATCACCGGTAACCATGAAAGCAGTATTTCCCAGAGATGCCCTAGGTTCAGAAGCAGATCTGTTGTTTGCAAAGCAGCCGTTACCTGAATGTACTTCCTCTGAGTCTCATCGTTGAGGACGTGGGCTACGTGCTTGGAGAAGATCTTCTCGCGGCCCGTCCGCGCGTGGATGCCGACCATGGTGACCCCAATGGGCCAGGGGGCGTTGCCAATCGCCATCTGCAGGTAGGCGTCGTTGGCCTGCAGGGAGAGCCCAGGCACGCTCAGCACAGCAGGGAAGGCACCAGAGAGCAGAGGGCTTTGGCACTGCCAGGCACGCCACCACCGCGTCCCCCAGCCGCCCCGAGCCGCGTTTCACCGCACAGGACCAGCCAGTTTTACAGCAGGCCTCCCTAACACCACTCCTGCTCGTGCTGAGCCCCGAGGGAAGCGAGGGCCGTGGACTTCACCTCTGGGGTGGTGCAGGAAAGCAGTGGGTAAGGCTGGCACTGCTGCCAGCTGGCTTCCCACACGCTGCTCTGCCGCTGCCACCTTCACGACCGCCAGAGCAGCCGCGGGCGCCCGGCCGTCAGCACAGCCCAGGACAGGCCCCTGCCCCTGCCCAGAGCTGAGGCACCCGTGTGCTGGGGCCTGGCAGCTCTGGGGCAGGGCAGCGAGCTTCCAGGGAGGCTGAGAAGCAGTCCCCACAACGCTGGGTTACAGAAGCACATCCGTACAGTGCTCATGAACAGAGCAGCACAGGAGGTAAGCCTGAAATTTCCCCATTGAGACAGCAGGTCCTGCTTCTGAACACAAAGCTCTGGCAGACAACACCCCAGGGCAAGAACAGGGATAAAACTTGTAAGGAAACTGAATAGAAAGAAAGAGAAAAAGGAAGAAAAGTACAGAGCTTAAAAAAATTACAGCAACTGAAAACCAGGAAGTGCATGGGACAAACACACATGTAATTACAGAACTTCAAGAACTTGAATTACAATTCAATTGTAAAATTGAATTGAAGAACAAATTACAAGCTTCAAGAACTTGGTGCAGGACACTCCTCTACTGTTAGCTCCTCCAAGCAGCTACATGATTCATTGACAGAGGGTTCATTTGTCATTTCCCACTTAAAGACTAAGAAATAAGCAGCAGTAATCATGGCCTGTAGGTGAAGCTTCTTCCCAACTGGCATCCAGCAAAACAGAGGTGAGCAATGCACAAGGCAGGAAGGGGGTTACGGACAGAGCTGAGAGTAAACCTGAAGGAGGGACAGAGCTTAGTCTTCACCTGTGTGAGGCAGAATCTGAAGAGTCTTAGTCCAGTACCTACTTGCTGACTTAAACACAGTTTTGTGATGAAACATAGCATGTGAACAGGCAATTAAAGACCCTTCCAGGACTGTCACAACAGGGTTAACTAAGGCTTAGCAGACAACCTGCATTTTGGTGTCTGCCTGCTGTCACACCGATTTAAAAATTTAAGCCTTTTGAGCATTTCAACTAACAAAGCAGCAGGAATTTGTGCCTGACAGTATTCACCAGGCTGCACAAAGCAAAAGAGCACAGAAGACAGCAGCAGATACAAAGAGACAAGTCTTTTAGGAAGCAAAATGGAAAAGGACACAAGTATCTTTAAAAAGCTCATTAGCCTAATTAAAAAAAAAAAAAAAAAACACCAACAAAGAAACAACTTCCAAATGTATATTCAACTCCTCCAAAATGAGCCTGTGAAGTTGACATAAAGCCACACACCTCCAGGACAGAGAAGCACAACTGATTACCCCATGAGCTGTACCACATCCCTGCACACTCACTACTTTGTTTGAGAAGGCATTGGAAAGGGAATTTCAACACAACGATGACAACCAAAGGGAAAACAAAGCCCCCAAACAAAACTCTACTATCATACATCCCACACTTTTAGTTCTGCTTTCAAATCAAATGATTTGCATTAAACTTGCCTCAGGCCCTCTGAAGTTTTTTCAGTAACAAAAGCAGGTTTGCTCGCTTGCTTACTTGACAAATTATCCCCAGTCCTCACAAGAACAGTAAGAAATACTAGGAATTTACAGGCAAAACAGTGCTCAATCTCCTCTGCATACACACGCTGCTTAAGCAAATGCTATTGGTATTTCAGTTCCACTTCTGAGGGCAGCTACAAACAAAACCCAACGCTGCCTTTGATCTTGTGTGCCAAAGTACTTCTGCCTCCTCCAGTAAGCAGACTTTGTCCAAAAAACTTTGCATTAACTTACCTCAGCCTTACCAGGCCAGCTAATGTGAGCAAAGCCAAAGAAAGAGGCAGTGTCTCTTATTCAATAACTCAGCTCACCTCAATTAATTCCCAATTAATCAACACTCTATTACTATTAATTCGATGCCTCCATTTAACCTTATAGTATCAAGTTACCCACAGAGGATTCCTCTGCAACTTAATATAACCATCTCTGAGAAAAATGCTTTGTGCTTGCAAAGCTCTGCAGTTTCACTAGCCTCAAAAGATCTTCTGACAGGCTGTGGATCAAACACTACCTGGAGCTTAACCTCCAACAGCCATTTTTCATTTTGTTTGGATATATGTTGTGTTTATTTCCAGCTATCTATCTTCAAGATTTAAAAAAAAAGAGAATATTGAAGTAAAACGCAATCTATTAGAAGCAGTCTGAATGTGCCAGAAGAGTGCAAACAAACCTACCTTCACATATTCTCTTTGCAACATGAATTTAATAATATCTGTTATTGATTCTTTGATGTCTGCAGGAAGTGTCTACGAGAGAAGAAAAAAAAATTAAAAAACATATTTACTTCAGCATAGCAGCTCAGGAAATCCATCCTACTCAGCACTTACATGAAGTTTGGCACCTGCCCTAGCTTGAGGACTCTAACAAAGGAACACATCTGCCTTACCTAGATGAAGGATCTGAAGCGAGAGAGGTGAAGTGGTTACACCTTGTAGCTGGTGGCAAAGTGCAAAATACAATCCCAGTTCTCTATCGTTGTCTGCAGCCCACTGAACAGGAGATAGATTAAGCAACACCAGTGGGTAAGCAGAATTCACTGACCCACATAAACTCAGAACTGGGAGTCACGGGCTCTAAACACAGAAATTCTGACCAACTGACTTCCCCTCTCGCTTCTGTGAAGATCACATTACCTTAGGAACAGGCACTAACCACTGGGCACCTGGAAAGCAGAAGCTAAAGGAAGTCTTACAGGAGAGTGGCATTTAAAAGTGACTCACCCTTTTCCGAAGCTTTCTGAAGAGTGGCCTGAGGTAGGACTCTGTCTGCTTCTGAGTGGCACTGTTCAGCTTCCCCTGGACCCCTCGCTTCACGTAGTCTTCTCTGGCGTTCAGCTCCTTTGCCCAAACGCCAAGAAGAAACTGCAGGAGGAAGAAGTACGTTTATGTCACAGTGCCATCTAGTGACCTCCTCAGCTACACAGATGGGAACTGGGGTTTAAGCCACCACGTCAAAACGAGTTTTTGGGAAAAATGTCAATTAAGAAGGCAAGAAGCCTCTTTCAGAAGGATGGGCAAGGAGGGGTAGGAACAGCACTCTTATAAAAACCTGTGGATGAGGGGGGAGTATGTATAAAAAGAGAAGTACAAAAAAAAAAAAAAACACCAAGGAAACAACAGTGCAGGTGGAAGTGCTGAGAGAGAGGAGTACAAAGAAAGAGCAGAAATCCAAGAAGCTGCTAACGTTCCAGAGCAATTTTTGTGAGAGAGCCTAAGGAACGGTGAAGGTCACAGTGAAAATTCAACACACCAGAAACCAAATGTCAGATGTTCTTTTTCTCCACCTGGAAAACATTTTTGAGCTTTGTCTGACTGCCCAGCCCAAACTGCATTAAAATGCCAACACCTCTGATACACACAGTCATACACTTCAGCTCTTGCTGTGCCATTTAATCATCACTGCAGTCCAAACGAGACCCAAACGAGAGGCCGTACAGCCTTCCTGCCAGGAAACAAGGAAACAATCTTCTGCTATCCACTTGAACCTGTTTCCTTAGTGGACTTCCTTTACAAGTCTCTTATTTCACCCAACAGTACCAGGTGACTGCATTTCAGCTTGCACTGTGCCCAGGGAAGGGAGGCAGGGACTCGTCCCAAGTTTTTCATGCCACAGCACTACACAGAAGCAACTACACACAACTGTCTCCATTACCCCGTGGAAATTAAATCCATATTTATTTCCTCTAGAAAAGTAGGACCACATTTTGAAGAACGCTGCTCTCCCAACAGCTCTATCCCAAGTTTTGGAAAAGTCACTATTGCAACTAACCAAGGCTGTGGAGTGCCAAGCATTTAAAAATCCCACATCTTAAGCATAATGTGTGAATTTTTCTCTCCAAACAGCTGAAAACATCTCTTCTACTGACAAAACGTATCTGCATGATAGTGAAAAATATGACATAATAATGAATCAGAGTTTGTTACCTTCAAGAACTTTGTTATGATGTCCATATCATAGTGATCATCACCCCGCCCTAGGGATTCTCCCAAAGCCTAGAACAAGAGAAAAAAGACAATGATTTCCACACTATCTAGAGGTTTGCCACCACCACCACAGCAGAGCACAATTCACTGCATCACAAATGGTTACAAACCCTACCAGCACCCCAAAACACTACTTAGGAAATGGAGTGGAACTGCTATATATGTTACTGACATTATTCATCTAGCAACAATATTTAAGTCAAAAAGCCAATATGATTATTTCAGAAAAGTCAGTGCAATAGTAATTTTTCCTTCATTAACTATTTAATACAGTACTTTCAGCCTGCTGCTAATTATGGCTGTAGTTTAAGGGAACTGTGGGTGCACTGCATTTTTTGAGATCCCAAAAGCCACCAATTGATCTAATTACTTTGTTAAGCTATTTTAATTTTCTGATGTACTGCTGCATTTTTACTGTAACTACGAAATTAAGGGAACAAAGTTAAACAAAACAAATCACAGAAAAACCCCAGAAGTATGTTCCAATATTCTATCACTTCCTGCCAAACCCTCAAAACTGTTAATAGTAAGAGTAACTTTTAGAACTACTTTTCCAGTAGGTAGAGTTAGACTTATATTCTATTTCCATTGTCCTCACATTTCCAAAGTGACTTTTATTCTTTAAAATCTAGATTTGGAACTCAATTCAGTGTAAGCCTTATGCTGAAGGGAATGCAATTAAAGCAACATAAAATAAGGACTGCAGTCTAGTTTTCAAACTTTTCAGGAAAAAAAGGTTACCTCTGTGGCTCAAACCAAGCCTGCCCTGCTACCCCAAAAAGGGAGTATTTTGAGAATGAAAAGACTGATAAAATGCAGCCCCATTACAACTGGCATCCATTCTGGTACACTTATTTTAAACCAGAACCCCTCATACCCTAACAAAAATGTCAAAGCGTCTCCTAATGATGAAGTATTCATTTAAGCTTTCAGTCCTAAATCAGGTTACTTCTCAAACACACTTTTGGAGGGTTATGATGATTAACTCCAGCAAAGAGTTTTGAAGATTAAGGGTAAAAGTCTTCAGCCCAAGTTAATGTGCTTTTCAAAACATTCTCCTGAAATGCCAGGTGCTGAATGCCTCTCATGGCACTCAATCTCTGCTCACTTACACAAACGCCCTGCTATTCTACACCCTGGTGTTCTCTCAGAACACAGTAGATGTTTGCACTGAAGCTTCTCAGACACAGTCTCTACACTTCTTGTATTTCCTGTCATCCACTTACTTCTGATGTCCTCTTGTTGTGGACAAATGGATGTTTTTAAATTGATTATTCTTTCTGTACATCTTGTTTTTCAGAGTCTAGCTTTCTTGTATAGGGAAAATTCACCTGTACTAAGCTTACTAACCTCTCAAATGCTCATTGGAAAGGCTTTAGAATTTAGGACCAGGTCAAGTACTTTTATTAAACTCTACTTCCAAACCCCCTGCAGAGAGAATACTGCCTGTATCACTTCCCTGGCAGGCAATTCCTGTCTCTTTTTTGATGAGGTGTTGTAAACAAAAGACCATTTCAGTTTTCACATGTCTGCTGTAGGCACCTGTGGTACAACTTAAGGCTTAGAAACCACCATTTCCTAAAAGAGCATATTTAAGGATAATTCAAAATACCTAAGATAAATGTTGAAAACAAGGTAATTTTGCCTAAACAATCCTGAAGCTTTCTCACAACAACAACACCTGACTAAAACACCTTAATTAAAATCTACCCATCACATACCTCTAGTTCTTCAATAGTAGTATTCTCCTCATGGACTTTCAAGTCATTCTGAGAGTCATCGTCTCCTGCTTCTTGGCCGCCGACAATTTCATTCAGATACTGCTGGTCAATCTTATCCAAAGCAGCCTTCAGGTCATTTCTCAGGCCCTAGAAAAGATAAGAAATTACTAATTAAAAAAAAACCAAAACAAAAACCACCACACACACTCAAGTAAATAAAAGCCATTCAGTACCGACTTGTGTTTTTACAGAATTTGGCTTTTCTTAAACAGAAGTTGGATCAGAATCAACTCCTAGAATCAACTTCCAGGACCTTCTTCATGCACTGCACTGACCCACTCCAAAACATAAAACAGACCATAAGCATCACCAGCTCTACCAGTCTTCCCATCTGCCCTGAAAAAAACCTGCAGACAACGTAAGTAACACTCCTTCAATACTATCACATAAAATGTTTATGTAGTTTCCTTTTATTATCAATTATTTAAACATAGCAGAACGTTTTTATATAAAGTGTTCAAAATCCCCTACTCTAGAATGCACAATTAAAAAAAAAGAGTCAGTGTGAAAGCATATTTATGAAGTTAAGAGCTGCTTTTAAATAGAAAAAGAAACTCAGTCACAGTTAGAGGCCTTGCATTCTTCTCTGGAGACATAAAACATGAAGCTCTAGAAAGGAGTACAACATTCCTTACCTCACAATAAATTCAGCCACTCCACTGGGAATAGATAGGTACAACTATTCCCCCTCTCCCACCACCATACTTGACTGTCTGGAACATTTCTATTAATCATTTAGTAGTCTAAAAATGTCTGAACCACACACTGGTTATAGTGACTATCTACATTTTAAACAACATATAGCAAGAGGACTGACTGAAATGTAACACAAAAATCCAACAAAATCCTATTTATGAGTACACTGTTCCCTAATACTCTTGCTTCTGTTGTTGATGTCACTGGAGGGGACGTTTTCATTAGCAGATTATTTTTTAAAAAAATGTTTTTATCTGTCTATCTTTCTTTTTAAAAGACTTGAACAGGAAGAGGCTTTCCTGTTCTGGGCAGCCCCAGCAAAGACATTTATAGCAATTCAGTTTGCCACAAATTAGGGAAGAAAATCCAAACCATCACTCTCACAGCTGGGTTGGAAATTTGGCTGACAAGAAAACAAATCCCAGTTGCGTCTCCCCGCTTAAGTAACTGACTTATTACTTTTGTCTTAAGAATTGATCAACTATTACATATCTCTTAGTCATTTTTTTGAATTGATGGCTAATTCAAAGGGAAGGGAATAAAAAGTTTCCTTAAGTTATAACTCTGGAATCGAGGGATTTGAAAAATTATTTACTTATCTGAAAGACAAGATGGAATCCTCCTCTTAGCTGCCTGCACCTTCTCAGAGACGCCTACACTTGCAATCACAGAACAGTTTTGCAGCAAACCCCACTGGTCAAAAGCAGGTGACAGCACAGGCTGGGGTATCGCTGCCACCCAGAGGCTCTTTTTCAACTGAAAAGGGCCCGGGGTTGAACTGTCTAGTGAAAAGAACTGTAACTGCACACAAAACTGACATCTCACACACTTCCTCAGCCAATAAACGAGGTGGAGCAGCTGTTTCACTTTGCTCTGTACTACCTCACCCTCCTGAAAATTAACAGTTACTGAAACTGATCTTCTGTATGTTTTATAGCATTCCTCACCAGTTATCACTGCAAATAAGTAACTAGTAATCTGCCAGTCTTACCTTGTTCACTTCAGGTGCAAGGATTTCTATCTTCCTCAGGCGCTGAAACGCATCATAGTCTGTTTCTCCAAAGAGCCTGATGGGCTCACCTCTCTCTCGTAACCTCCTGATAACCTGAAGGGAATTGAAACACTCCCTTACACAAACTCAGAAAGGCACCACAATAAAATCCAGAACAACAGATTTATTTACTTTGCTTAGAATAACAAGCTGAGCTGGACTGGAGAGGAAATGGCAATATTTTAAGCAACAGAAAAATATTCCAGACACTTTACAATCTAAATATAAAATTCCCACGGTATTTCAGTGGAAGGTCATTCCAAATATTATTATTATTTTTTGCATAAAACCCCAAGCCACTTGGTATAGCCTAACTTCTTTCTGCTCTGACTCTAAATACACAAAAATCATCTGTCTTGCAGAGCTTAAAAACTGTTTTCAAAATCACAAAGGAACTTGGCAATAACCTCACTCAACCTACTTGCCCAGGGCAATAAAAAATACTCCCTAAGTAGGCTGCAGGTTGTCCCAGCATGCCTGCAAGACTGATTTGCTGAAAATTGTCATCCTTAAGCATTTGGCATGTATTAAGTCCCATAATCTACTGTGATATTTACTTTACAACTAGATATAACAGAGGTGTGACATCCTCCCTCGGGTGGCTTGAACAGCAACACTCTGGTGATCAAGAGCAGGGCTCACACTTCATTTTATGCCACCACTTCATTACACCTATAGACTGGCTGGACAACAAGACACTAAATTAATTCAGCTATTTACTCATTTATTCAGTTCAAGTGTCTTGCTGTACGTTGGCATGCATTTGACTTGCAGATGTGTCACAAACCCAGGGGTGGGCAGCGTGCTGGCACAGCCCAAACTTCAAACCAAACATGAATCCAACGGCCCACATGACAACTCCCATCACAAACTCCTGTAAAAACCAGTGTCCTGTAAAGCTAAGGGGATATGTGACATCCTTGGATGACCTCAACTATGAATTTCAGTATTTCCAAGATTAGAATTTTTTCTGTACTACTGAACTTCCTGCTCCTCTTCTGCTTTGAGGCACAGATCTGCTTGTGAGCTCACATTCACATAGGTATTTTTTCATCCTTAGAAAGGACAAGGAACACACCAGCTCCTCTGGCTTCAGGACTTTTCCTTCTAGAAATCAAAGTGAAGTGCCAGGACTTAGTTTCTAATTTTGTGTTCAGACCAATGAACTACAAAGAAGCTGGGGGAAAGAAACATTGGGAAAACCAGCAAGCCCAATGGAGGCTTATTATTTTATACAAACTACCACTAAAAGTGGCACTTCACTAAAAAAACAGCCCTAGCAAGAAATTTCAGATGGCTCTGCTGTAAACTTTGCTGTCTGCTTATGATGACTGATTTTACCTCCTGCCTGGAAAGGGTCATTGGTAGCTTTTCTTCTGCCAGTTCCAGTTCCAGTACTGGATTTGATGAAGTCAGTGGTTTCTCCTCCTCCTCTTCCTGCTGCACCTACATGCAAAGGACACAGTTACTACAGTGCTGATGGAAATAAACCCACATATTGGAAGCAGTGTAAAGATATGGGAACACTAGAGCACAGGTTGTAATATCACAACATGAACTCTTAGCTTTGGAGTTTTTATTGTCCAGAATTGAATTTCACAGAATAAAAGCCTTTAAAAGTACCAACATTTAACTAACAGCCCTGCACTTTGTGGGAAGCAGTCTCTACAGCAATCAGAAGGGACAACTGCTCTAGTTTGGCAATCACTTTAGCAGGCAGATGTCAGTGCTGGTGCCAAAACCAGCAAGCCCAGCCTCTGCCTGTAGCTTCCTGCCCCTGCTCTGCCCTCCTTACCCGCGCGGGAGCATCTGCATCGCTGTGTGAGGGACACGATGGGGGAGGAGATTCCAACAGAAAAGAACCTGGTGAAGACAAAGAGAGGTTCCCTTCCCAGCCCACCCAGCACCCCCATCTGGCTCCCCAGGCCTAGCACGTGCACGGACACGAGGGCAGAAATGAAAACCTGAGGGCAGGGAGGGAGCAGGGCTGCTTCACTCCATGGCAGTGTCAGCTATTTTCAGTTTATTACTTACAGATTCCATGAGCTGAGAACAGTGATCCATGGATTTTACTGGGTTTTGAGAGGTGCTTGTTTAAGGCAACCTATCTTTCTAACAAGCTTGCCATAGTTTCTTGTGGGTTAAAAGGAAAAAAAAAAAAAAAAAAGACACCTCCAACTCATCACAGGGATTGGATCTCATTAACAACTCCTAATCTAAAAGAAGGTCCCTGGATCAAACAGAGCTCTCCTTCTCCATTACTCACTGTTTTAATAATGCAAACAACTCTTAGATCAAAGTGACTTTGAGACAGCAGTCATGTAACTACAGTTCCCTTCAGAAGCTCAAATTTGACACTTCTGACAGCATCAGTAGATGTTACTGTTGGGAATATTCCCATAATAAGGAAACATTTCCAGTACTCACTCACACCTTATTTTTTTCCTAGCTTCCTCATGAGAATTTATTTCCTTTCCATACTTGCTAAAAGGGGAAGGCTCCCCTCAGTCCTGCAGCGTGCTCCATGTGTGGGCAGCATGCTGGCACCTACCACCTGCATTTGGGTCCATCAGTCTGATGAATGTACCAGACAGACTTTTTCAGAGAAGCTGTCCTATTCTTTCAGACCCCACATGGCTGTGAGGATCCAGCCCTGTTGCTCCAGCTGTGGGATTCAGCCACAACTCTCTACACTCAGTGCTGTACCAGCCCACACAGCAGTCAATCCCAAACCAAAGGTGCTGGGAACAAGCAGGGGAACGATGATCAAATGCTTGACATGTGAAGGGAAAGGAAAAATAAAACTGCCACTGATGCAGGAAAGGGGGAATTGACAGGAGACAGAAAATATGGAGAAACTGTGTAAGAACAAACATATATAAAAAAACACACTCCCATGGCAGAAGGATATGTACAAATTTTAACTTACAAACATTCTTGAAATCATAAAGAGACAGCAGCATTGGGGGAAAAGATTTGATCCATTCTGTCAGCTGGACTCCAAGTTACAAGCAGTCTCTTTACCACAGTTATTTTGGTTTCAGTGCTTTCTTTTTCAAGCAAGTCAGATTATTACAACTTATTAAGTCTAAGCAAAGCAAAAAACACACCTGAATTTAAAAAGCAATCAGTCTCTAGATCTACGTTGTATCAGTGTAAGTAAAGATCAAATGTAGAAATCTGGGAGGCTCTAAAAAGGCATTAAAATTAGAGAAGCAACTTATTTTCAAACCGTTTTGGGGGTTACATTTCAAACCAAAGCTGTCGCTGCAGCAGCAGAGGTAACTGTTTCAAGAGCCACAGGAGGGTCTGGAGAACCCAGGCTGATGCTCAAGAGGCACCATGCCCTCAGCTCCCTGGGAGGAGCGCCCGGGCTCACGGGACACTCTGATGACCTCGTGCTGCACGGCCCAGGGCTCGTTTTGGCCTTCCAGCATTCCACCGTCAGACGGAGGTTTCAGAATAAGTCACTGGCTGGGGGAGGTTCAAGGGGAAACAACGCTCCTGTTCGTGCCCAGCAAACCAGATGACAAGTCCCCCAGGGGCAGGACCCCCCAGCCCCACACACCGACGGGCAGGCAGGCAGGCAGGCACACACTTGTCAAAGAGAGCGACATTCCTCCCGTGGCAGTCAGCCACTGCCCTGGCAGCACTCCGGGGCGGATCAGGCCTTCCAGAGCACTCACCTGGTGCAAAACGTGCCCTACGTTACCAATTTTTTCTGATATTTTGCCGGCAAGAAACCGAACGCTGCTGTTGCATTCTTTCAATGCCAGGTGGTGGTGGCCAAAGCCCAAACACCAATGGATACCTTCTCAAAGTTGGCAGATCTTTTTGACGTGCACCCACGCTAACTTATTTTGGATGTTTTGACAAGCCTGTGAAAATCATCTGAATGGATAAAATAATCCAAACGTATCCGTTTACCGTCCCGACAAGGGGGTGGGGAAGGTGGCTGGGTCAGATCCAGTGCTCATGCCTAACAGCACAATTTAAAAAGACAGACAAGCTTTGAACCCAAGGCACTTCATGCTCTCCACAAAAAAAATAAACAAAAGAAATAAAAGCCAAACCATAAGGCAAACATAAGTAGCTGAAAGTCATGCACATCTTTTCCTGCATTGAAAACAGTTTTGGAAACTCATACCTCTCCAGGTGGCTTCTCATTTACAGGCTAACGTATAACATTAACAGATTGAACAAAGAACAACAATTATCATTAACAACGTTTATGCTGTTGGTAACAAAATGCAGACTTTAAGTAAGCAGACAAACTCCTGGAAGAGCCATTTCTGTACCTTGTAGCCGCATCTCTGAAAGTAGGCCTCCTCTTCTTTTTTGGCTAGCTCACTGCGTTTGAAATATTTCTTAGCTCCCTACAAGAGACGAAAACTGTTAACAGTTTATAGATAAAAATATTTGGGCAAATATGGCTCCAACTTCCTTACTTGATTTTGGTGAATTCAGCTACCTCCTTTCATAGAAATGGCTACATTGTCACGGAAAGGGAACTAGTTGGAAGCTCCTCTGAAAATCAGCAAATATAGAGTGATTTCTCAGCAAGCATGTACAAGCAGGCTTGCAAGTACTATGTGTGCACCAGCACTTAAAAAAAACCACTTTCGTTGTCACTTACTTGTTAGTGTAAAGTTTCACTTTGTGCTCAAGGTCCAGGCTGGAGAACAGAAAAGTTGTTTAAACAACCCTACAAAACTCATCATTTAACATTAAACAAAAGGGCCGGGAGAAATCACCTTTGTACAAAGCTCTAGGTGAGCCTGCCTGGTGCACCTATGTAAAAAAGCCTTTGGTAAGACCTTGCAGACCCCCAAGAGCCTGCAGCTGTGGTCACCCTGATGCATGTCCCTCCATTAACACTAACTATCGCTTCTTTTCCCACAGTTTGCCAGCCTGACCTCCCACAGCTCCCAACTCCAAAACCCAACCTGAGGCCCCTCCACCCGACCCCGAGGGCTGTTTTGCAGGGGGTGTGTTTAAGCTGAGGCGCTCAGCACACGCACAGCCCTGCGAGCGCCGCTGCTCTGAACAGAAGGCGGCGGCCGGGGAAGGGACGGGCACCTCGCTCACCGCGACTCTCCTCCTCCCTCAGAGCCCGGAACGAGCCTTCCGGGCTCCCCTGGCCCCAGAGGCCGAGGCGCGCGGCAAGGCCCTGACGCCAGGCTCCCCTCGGG